AATAAATGAGACAGCGGCCAAGGTTGACAAGTTTCATTGTGATGATGATTAAATGTACGTGTATTTTCAATAATTAACAAAGCTGAAGGTAGTCTATTTCGTTTTATTGATATGCATATTCACTGAATATGTTAATCCTAATTGAAAAAAATAACTATGTAGCTACTTCATATATTGATATGCAAATTAGGATAGCCCTTTGTTCCAATTCTTTCATCAGCAATTATCTTTCAAATTTGCCCAACGCCGAAATGTGGAATCATTCAAGTGTTTTTTTCTCTGTCGTTGTTTATTTAAGAAAAAAATGGAAAACTTTGAATAGCAAAAAACGTGTTTAAGGAATCATCGGATAGAGATGGAACGGGAAACGGTGAACGGTAAAGATTTGCACTGGATAGTTTGGTAAATAAGTTTCACATCGGCATTAAGTTTATATTAACAGTGGTTGATTACAAATACATTATTATATGCAAATTTTCATTTCTGTGTTTACATCATAATATATGAGATTTGTTTTGATTTGATTGGGAATTTTACAATAATATATTGAGTACATAAAACAGGCAACTGAACTTACATGTTCTCAAATTAATCAAAATAATGTACTGTTTTTTAGCTTTTTATTTAATTACTGACATTCAGTCTACAATATGATGTCAATGACTATATCACGTATCACACAATCAAGTTTTTTTATGTCGTATCGTATTTAGTGATATTATAGCTAATTTATAGGTGGCAAATAATAAGATCACGAGTAAAATAGCTCGCTATTACTGGGATGTCGTGTAATTGACGTTTTATCATAAATGGTTTACAATTTGATATGGTGTGCTGGGGTCAGATACGGTTAGAACACAGCAGATTTTTCTCAGGAATTAGATTTTTCGCTAGATGCATGCATTGAAAGCGAATTGTGGACGACACATACATACACGCGTTCTTGGACAAAAGTCGTTAATTAGCGTAGATTAGCGTATGGTTTACGGGAGACATCACATATTACATTACGCTTAATTTAAAACGAGCAATGCATTTTTGTGTAGCTTAATTGCTCTTGATGTTTAGTAAATTCTTTTAGTAACGATTCAAAAAGCGTTAAAATTGAATGCAAACAAAATAACACGAACTACGGTCATGATAATTATAAACCTGTGCTAAATAAAAAAATGACAAAGTCGTAATTCTCACAAATAAGCCAAGTATACAATGACGATCATTTGTCATAAACTGCATTGAAACAGACCACGGTGGAGTTGCGTAGTGTGAATCAATAAATAGTTCAGACTGTACAATGACGCTATTACCTGGTATGGGAACACACTTTATTGAAAGATGACCGTGACAGAGACAGTCCTTTTTAAATATGGTAATAACTTCGTAGTTCAAACATTCCATTCTTTATTTAGCCTGCGAGGCGTATTTTTGTACTTGATCAATATATGCATGTACTATACGTTTCCGTCTATTCTTTATTGCGGCAAACATTCCTTAATACGAAGTTACCTTGACCTGCAATTGTATTTATATTTATATTTGGATCATTCTGGCGTAATTGACGTACAGTTTTAACTATACAAACAAGCTTACCCCCCCCCCTCCCCAAAAAAATGGTATATTATCATACGTTACCTAGATTTCTTATTGCCATAGCTACGACAGAACACGACAAACACCATATTTTGACCACGTGCTATTCACCGCCGGTGTCATTTTTTTTCAACCTGAGGTCAACATAACAACGGCAACCAAAGCGTAATTTCTTAACAATAGTTGATATCATTGCTCTGGAACCTTGCCAGTATTGATCGCGTTTTTGTAACGGATCAGATCATTATTAATGTTTCGACTCGCTATAGATAATATGAACACAGTGTATATTTCAGATTAACTCGTTAGTTTGAATGCTTTTTGACGTTGAGAGTATAATTGAAAGGAGACATTAAAGCCGTCAGCAAAGTTCAATTTTAGTAGCAAACAAAAGTCTATTGTTTGTTGTTGTTTTTCACCTTTAACACACATACACGCGCATTAAAAATAGACTAGCGATGTCCAGCAAAAATATGAGTATAATGCTCATTTTTTAGAATAATACCTAAGAGAATAAAGTACTCAATAACGTAGTAGTACATATTATTAATTTATTCAGACTCCATACGTGTGTATGCGTATTATACCCAGGGGGATTCGGCCGTCTGAGATGTGTTTTTGACATTGAAAGTATAAGTGCAATTAGCATTGAACAGAGGCGCTGAAGTCTTCAAATAAGTTAATTTAAGTAGTAGAATTTGTTTTCCATTTTTTTTAAATAACATTAAAATGCACATTAAAATGTTTTTTTGTTTTTTTTTTACCAAGATGTAATACCACAACATGTCATACTGATACTGATAATGTGACCCACTATTATTCTGATTATGTACGAGTGATAATTTAATAATAAATCCCCTGGTAGTCGCGATGACACAACGACGCTATATTGTCAATATAATACATATGACTTTACATTGCTTATAAATAAATATGTTTACAATGGAAACGGACACAAATCAGTCATGTGGTAATGTACACCTTTGAACTGTTCTCTGTGTCGTTGTCCCTGCCAGGGACATGCCTAATCCGATGTAGCAGAGTTCGAACGTCTGAATTCATAGTTCATATTCTGTGAACACAGAATTTATGCATTATACAGTGTTTCATTTTCTTGTTAATAAGTAATAAAACACACTACATTCATATGTCGAACAGTTCTAAAATATTGATGGTATATTCTAAAGTAAAATTCATAAAAAGTACACACAGCAAGCTTATAGTATATTTGTATAACATACACAGGCCGGGCAATGCAGTATTGTATGTGGTAAAACGTTTCGTGTGGGCACTCTAAAAAATAAAACACGACTTCTGGGTATACTTGTACATGTATTATAATACTATTCACAGTATAGACTACGATAACTTTGAAATATGAAGCACATTCATGCAAATGAATATTACATTATACAATGGAAGCTTTGGTCAGATTAAAATTTACAACAGAAAGGGACCGTGTAACATGTGTGAATTAACACCAAAAACCCGCAGAGCACGTTATTTAGAAAACAAAGAGAAATAATACAATGAAGGAGAATCAACAGTCACATTGAAATATACAATTCCCGATTGCTGAATTAATAGCGTTTGCGCGTTTATGCGTTTATTGCTTTGTTTTCTTTGCTTGCGCACATTGCCTGACCCGAGGTCAACAAACCGGAAGTAAGGGAAAAAGCCGAAGTACGCTCCTCATCCGTGTTTCCAATTGGCAGCGAAAAAAAATCCTCCCAAATAAAAGTGCCATCATCTTTTAGCTTGTATCAGCTTTTGAAAATGTGTACACTATTCTGCCTGAGCAATAAAATCGAACATAAAAATTAAATTTAGCTATAGCGTATATATATGTTTGCGGTATTTTGGAATTTGAAAAACTATGTCACTGTGATATTTACTCAGGGAAACACATGTACCATCAGCCGTCCTATATATATAATTATAAATATGCCGCTGACTTCTTTTTCACATTTTGGTCCTACCCTCGCTCGTCGCTAGTTAGGTTACGCATGCGCCAAAAAAAATCGCGTACGTCAGTAATCGGGATCTGTATGTACAAATATTATTGAGTTCAACTTATGTTTAAATGTTACCGTACAAAAACCACGAATGGCTTCATATTAAAATTATAATATGAGATTCTATCTGAAATACTGACGGACAAAATATGCACTTTATTTTCAAGAATAAACACTATTGACATGATGAAAGCGTATATTCATAGTTATGTCATAATATCAATTCCAAATTCCAAATAAAATATATTTTTCTAATCCACATTTAACGTGTACATGCAATTTGAATACTACAGTTAGAATAGTTCGAATAGGTCAGTTTGTTATTTACATCTTAGTTGTTATTCGCCCATCATCATTTTCGGCTGAGTTTGCGTGCATTATAGGTGATTGACCCCGTAAGTTTGACTTCAAATTGTAGGTTGTTTCAGTTGTTCTCGATTTTTTAGTGGTGTTACATGTGGTCACAGATGTCATCATATAATCATGTCGATTGTCCGTGTCGTGACAATTGTCGCAGCATCCAAGAGTGGTGATAAAGGCGCGCCTGTATTGTTTATTTAAAATGCCATAAACAATAGGATTTACTGAGGAATTCACCATCGGCAGCCACCGAACCAGTTCATTCCATGCCTGGGGCATGATGATTACACTTTTAGGATGTGTTGTGTTGTATAAGTAGCCGATGATCAGATCTAAATGATACGGCAATAGGCAAACGAATAACACACCCGCCGTCACCGCTAACATAACAACTATCTGCCGTTGCTGATGAAGCCTCTGTTTCAAATCGTGGGCGCTGACTGAAAATTTCCGCACACCTCTCTGTAGCTCTTTTGTTGTTAACACATTCAGCACAATAATTATTGCGATCACTAAAACAAATGCAATTATCGGCGTCAAACTGTGTAATATTCCATCAAGTGGTGTCCAGACTCCAGAGAAACAATTGGAATAGGTCATCGGTAGGGTAACTGTTTCGTTACTTGGCGGCCATATAATACATGTAGTGTACCACTTAGTATAAAAACTTGAGATCGGAGCAGAGAAGACAAAACCCATGATCCATGTAAGTACGATAAGTTTGAATGTGCGAGACTTGGAACTGATTCTGTCAGCCTTAAACGGTTTACATATTGCCATGTATCGTTCGAAGGTCACCAACACGATGTTGAACTCGGAGACGAAAAGACATAAGTCTAGGGATATATTCACAATAAAACATCCAACCGGTCCTAGGAAACTTTTATCGTGTACGACATCACTTGACAACGGTTCCCCGACTTGCACTATATAGTATACGCTAAGAAACATACAGTCTACGATGGCTTGGTTCGATAGATACATATTAGTCAATGTACGCATTGCTGACACTTTGAATACTACGTAGAGAAACAGACAGTTGAGTATGATACCAAACGGACATGTAATCGTAGCTGGAATGATACGGGTTAGCAATATATGCCCCGAGTCGTAGAGAAGCTCTGGTGTACCTATTTCCATATAGATATCCGTGAGATTTTTCCTTCGTGCATTGATAACACACTGATTGTTGTCGATCAGATCATTATATTCGCTGCTGATATTCATGATGCCAATCCTACGATGATCACATTGGTCGTGTCGCAAATATTATCTGGAAAGAAGAGAAACAGAAAAGAAAATCACTGAGTTCGTATCATATGGAAATATAGAAGAAATGGACACGCAAATGCAACCTTAACTACTGTTCATATCACTGATCGCTGCAGAAGTATGAAAGCAGTACCCATGTACAACTCGTTTTATATTTTTAGTTTTATACGGCGCCCTCGCACGTTACAAACATTCAAAATTACGTGACAAACAGCAGAGTGGCCTTTCAATAAATAACCACAGCAAGCACATGGCAATTTTATGGTCTCCTGAATTTATAGAATCTGTTTACATATTGATATCACACACGGTAAACGAGAGCAATAATGCACGAAACTTAAGTAGCAATGGAGAGCTCCCCTTGCATCCTCTCAACATTATTTATTCGCTTTTAGAGAAGGTTCACACAAAGAATGAATAGAGCAATGTGCCTATATACATACAAACATAAAACTGTTAATAAGACGTAGCTGTATAATGTGTGAACTCTCAAAGGAAACTATTAATTATACACAGGTTGCCTAAGATCACGTTTGCACCAACTGATAATACGTTTACAATGCTGTGAAACAAAATCGATCACTTGGTGGCGTACTTTAAATATATTCGACAGTATTTCAAAATCTCTGTTTAGTCGGCGATTGCCATTGCATATCCCATTTGGCGGGTACATACACATGCTGTATGGAGTCACGCTTCGAAACAGTATTCATATAACACAATTCAACCTGAGATAGTTTTAAAGTTTATTTCACGCGCGAATTAGATTTCAACTACACTGTATTTCATATGAACATGGACCTGCAGTGCAATATAACAAAACAGTGCAATCACATTTCCAGTAATCTGATTGATCAATATAAGCAAGTTTAACTTTAGACATCAAGGGATGCTTTTTTGTCAGCTTTTTTGTGATTTTACACGAGATTTCTTGAACGATTGTTGGGAATCTTGTATCAAAAGACATATCGGTACACGAAAATGTGTTTTTTTTACGCAGGTATAATGGGCATTCATCGCGTACGGCATAAAGGTCACGATTTGAAAGTACCAATGTTTTAACAATCATATGTATCCCTGTAAATCGCACTTTGATGGCACGATGGCTGTCTGTTATAGCTCTTCGTGAATGGTAATTGTTTGTGAAAATGAGCGAGCGATCTAGAAGTTCTGATTACCCGTCTACATATTACATTACCTTGTTAGTCGGTACATAGTAAAAGCCGCGAAGTGGATATATAGGACAATTTCATTCAATTTAAGGATAGATGGAGTACTGTGAGTATATTACATGATGTAATTGTAGCCTCACGAATTTGATACCTTTTTATTCCATATTTCGGTTCCCCGGCTACTAAATGCTAACAACTAACAGAGTGAACGTAATTTGTGATCGCGTAATCAAGAAATGAAAGAGCGTCCTTGGACATTTGCAATAGAAACGCCGCCCAGGAAGAACGATTATAGCTAATTTAAAATTTTGGCTATTAAGAATTTATTTTTGCCGCCACTAATATATTAACGGTTTTGGAGGGGCATAGATAACGTAAGTATTAATTTTGTAGTCAATTAAGCAATATTTCTTTCACGATACAGAACAAATCGCCACCAGACATGAGTGAACACATTTTGCGGAAAAGGTGATTTTGTGAAATTACATAGCTGTGTTCAGTTACACACTCGTAGCCGACTTGTGTGATATTCAGCAATAATGGCTAATGTTCAATCTGCTTGTATGACACCAGACACATCAACATGATTCGTAAGACATTGTATGATACACTGAAATGAAATATTAGATGACATATTATAGTGAAGATTAACATAATATATCATTCAAAGCGAATGATACATCAACTGAGTCATGCTTTGAGTTAGTATTAGTACACTAGAATTATAGTACAACTCTTTGTGTCCGAGCCCGACTTTAAAGGCGATTGTAACTTCACGTCATGCGTCAGGCTACATTCGCCTTATGGGCAGGGGAAACTCAAAGGAGGCTACATATACTATAATATGTAAAAAAAATAAACGGGGTTATCGGATTATATCATGCTTGAGCTTTGCTAAAGGGTTGTATTAAGCCACAAACTGACGTTTATCCTAGCATCTGATTGGCACAAGACATTTATTCCCTATTCCCTCGCGAAAATAATAATACAATATTTAAATGTAGCGCAGAATTATTTATGTAACTGGTTCGGATTTGTCAAATTTACTCAAGTACTTCTATCACAGTTTCACTCCATTATTAAAACAAATGCAAATAACGAAATAAAATGATATTTGACACAGTGCATAATGTGTCAAATCATAGCATTTCCATAGCAAACTATCGCAGACTGCTTTGCAAAAACAAAACCAATCACAGAACTACGCGAATAACATAGCTTAAAGGCATAGGTGTTATTTTATTCATTCCACATTATTTACTGGTAGGGTTAAAATAGCCTGGCTTACATGTAAGCTGCCGACAGTGGATAGGGCTAACTTGCATTTAAGCGACGTGTTAGAACCATTTCACGTTGTTTACGGGTTCCATGGAAATAGCAAAGCTTACATGTAAACTGCCGATAGGTAGTATTCCTGTGAACATGGTTGCAGGCCTGCCTGTAATATAAACGGCGTGTTAAAATTATTCCACATTGTTCAGCCATAATACTGTATGCGTTTAACATCACGTTATGATTCAAAAATAAAAAAATAAAGATGATACTCGCTACCACGCAAGGCTATGCGGTTCAAGATATGTCGTGGCAAATTTCTGTCAGTATTCGATTAATCACTAGTGTAGTGTATATTATGTATAGTCATACTCGACAATCTTAGTTTACGAAGACTAAGTTATATATTATTATATTGACCGCAAAAAAAATATTAAAAAGAAATAAAATTGTCCTACTAAAGTTGAGTTTCTTTAGCGGATGAATTATTAACTCGGTGCATTTCGATACTTCGTTTATTTTGTGTAATGTTGTTGCTATACATATTTGTACAATAACACTTTTAGAACATGTTGCTTTCACAAAAAATGTTAATAATTTCGTCATTTTTACGGTAGATTATGCAAATGAGCCACCTTGTATACCCTCGTTGCAGTACAGCTCAAACCCAAAACAATGTCAAAACTAAGGTTGTGTGCCACTGCTGAAGCTATAGTATGTGTTTTCGCCAGAAATTGAGCAACAAACTATCGTTTCCATATGCACCAGCAAATTAAAAAAACAAATTGTGTAGCGTTTAAACCGTCGAAAACTTATTAAACTGTTTGAAAATATTGCTCGTTATGACCCATAATATCCCTACTTCGCTTTTGAAAATACAGCTATTTGTTATATAACATTATTCCCTTTATCTTAGTCATAATATGCATATGCATTGTCATATTTAATTTTGAATACATAAGTTTTGTGGTTGAAACAACAGTGGGGAAGCAGTCTACCTAATATCCTTGATAGATGTAAATATCTTACAAAAACATTGGTGCCTAATTTATTATTTCAAGGGACATAATTTCCAGCTTTATTCAAAGTACAACAATGCATATTCCCACTGAAATCAGTGACCTTTGAATGTGTATCACCAGTGATCAGTCAGGTAGAAACAGTCAAAACTCAGATTTTCTCAATTTCTGCATGATATTTTTATACAGGACATCAGTCGTTCATACTCAGGGAAGACATTATACTGATGAATAGGGTGTCCAAGTTTGGAATAGAATTAGTAAAGTTGTTGTGCACAAAATAACAATTATTAACGACGACAACGACGACTACAGTAACAACGCCGGACAGAATGTTTCCCTTAATATACCTTTCCATTTCATCTTTGATGGTACACGCATGGTAAAAAACAGACAAACGTCAGTGCAAGGCTATGACGTTCTTATCTATCACAATCTCATTATCCATCATTACATAGTATACAAACTGGAAACTCTGGTTTAATCTT